AGCAATATTGTTTTTCTTTGCATCTCTGTCACCTAGAAGGCCTCCTTGTTTCATCCAATTGCATACCTTGCAAGTCTCTCACTTTGTACATGGCTTAGAATTTGCCAATATGGAATGTGAATACTAAATACAGAAATACAATTTAGGAAAAAAATCCTACCCCTTTTTCCAGTCAGAAAGCATGCTGAGTGGCCAAGTGTACAATGATATTTAGGTTATTTGATACAGACTGCATTGCTTCATTACCAGACCAATAAAATAACAGCATCACTGCCTTCACTCTGTCCTTACAAAAGGGATAAAGGCCTATAAATATACAGCCCATCTATGCATGCACAAGGTGATCACAAAGTCAGTTGATGGATGTATTGCATTGAAGAACAAAAACTAAGGAATATATTCCAATGAAACTTGGGGAATGAAATCAGAACATCATTGAGAGAACACAAGAAAAAGAAGCACATCTCATAGAGGATGCTAACAAGGTATATGTGCATGCAAACAGCTTCCTGACGACAAGGACAAGTATACGTATTAAGCTCCCCTGTATGCTATTCTTGTTCACTCTAAGTTGAATCCATTAGAGTGATAAGTTCATAGAAGAGATATTTACAGTATACATTTCAGCATCTTTAAAGGATGAGTGGAAAAATGATGACTGTCATGACACATGGATTATTGTTAGCCCTGCATATCAGCACCTTGCATGCCTTCCAAAAGCTGCAACTGTTGGGAATATGAAGAACATTACACCATCCATAAGGCATTTGCTTTTTCAAGTGAAATTCTTCTCATTATGCCATCATTTTGTTCCCTGAGTTTGATTGAGCTACAGGGCATAGATTTACCGTTGGAAAGCCATGCATTCCTTAACTTACTTCATCATCATCATGTACATATATTAAATCAATTTTAGCAATATCTATTATTTGTCTTGAATTGGAGGGAGGGGAGGGAGTCATGGCTCAGTGCAGCCAGAGTGACAGCAGGATTTTCAAGTTATATATATATATGTATGCTAATATAATTTAAACCCACCCTGGGTCTGACTTGTGTCATCTGGGCACAGACAAGCTCACCAGCTACTAGGTTCGACCCTTCCATGTTTCAAAGTTTTAAGATACTTTCACTTGGCCTCCAAATACAACAGGATTGTCATTAAAGACACAATAATATGATGCAAAGGGCATTGGCAATGGAAACCTCAAGTCCACACAGGGAGTTACTAGCATGAATCCATCAGATGGAGATTAATATTTCGACAATTCATACAGCCTTGACAGTAAGGCTTTTGCACCATGGAAAACTAGAATTTATAACCTACGTAGCGCCACAAAATACATACATATGATACCATTGACTTCTTTACATAAATATCTTTTTTGATATTGGTGTGAAGGTCATCTATTCAATTTTTTTATTATTTGATCGAGATAGTAAAGATCCATACCCCTCATTCTGTAAATGTCAGTATGTAAATATCTGCATATTTCAAAGACTGAAAGCATTTGATTAAAGTAAGGTAAAAAAAATTAGGCATTGATCTTTATGATGTCATATGACAATCACAGAATGGAGGAGATGGAAAGAGTTTCAGGGGAATAAAGGACAATACTGAAGCAAGAATAGTTCCCTTTGTCTAATGATTCCAAGACTTCTTTGGAGACTGAGTAGCAAAAGAGAAATCAGTTGCAGAACAAGATTTTATTGAAGAAACATTGTCAAAACATGAAATAGGAAGAGTTAAGTGGAGTGATGCCTTGACATATTAATAAGCCCAAAGGGCTCCTCTCGAGCCTTGCAAGCACCACGGAGATGGAAATTGAGGTTGGATTTGTTCCTGAAGCCCTTCTGGCAAACAGAACACACGTAAGGCTTTTCCTGAGTGTGCTGACGACTGTGAGTCACAGCATTGTCCTTGCGTGAACTCTTGTAATAGCAGGCGCCACAGAAAAAGAGTCTCATCCCACTTTGTGTCCAGCCACACCAGACATACTTCTGAACAACCTCGAGAGTCTAAAAGGGAATTTCAATAAGCCATTGAAAAAAAGTATGAGGCTTGCAACAGTAAGAAAAACCATAAAAGAAATGTCAAACTAACAATTATGCAGTAATACATTGTACAAATGAAAAAGAATATCAGGGATAGAGATGTGATCAAAGTTTGCAAATGAAGGTATTACCCTATTGGAAGAGTTGTCAGAAGTATCACAAAAAATTGTTTTCAATGAATTTTAATATTGTAAACATATTTATCAAGTCACCAGTCAGTCTAGAAATGCACAGCACAAATTTTCACTGTTAAAGTGGGTGGACAACCAAATACCTATTTTTATGTTGGTGTCTTAATAATACAAGAAAGGTACAGGTACAGAATCACAATCCAGTGGGACACATGACGAGATCTGATACAACCTTCTATTTGAATCTTATAACATCAGTAAACCTAGAAATAAATAAATATATGATACAATGGTAAGGAAGAAGGCAATGTACTGATTAGAAGAGGTGCCTACAATATTGACTCGTGCAACAGTTTCAACCATTTCCATGGAATAAGATTCACTGACACCAGTATGTAGACATGGATAGGAGTTCAGATGGGTTTTGCAGATGAAGAACCAAGAAGACAATGACTGCACAGTGCAGCAGAGCCCCATGGATACACATGGCTATTGCAGGTTAGTATATTGACAAATTGGTTCTCTATGCTGGAGGGCCTCCAGCCACAAGTTCAAAGCCTTGATTTTCTAGGCACACTGGAGGAAACACATTTTGGACAGTGTGACTTCAGTAACTGCTCCCACAATCAGTGGTATTTCATAATATGAGACTGAAGACCCTGCTTTTGAGAGAACTGCTTGGGACAGGAAGAACAGTGAAATGGTTTCACATGGCTATCACTGTGCTGACGGGCCTTATCCCTGCGAATTCCTGTGAAGGGGCAGGTAGCACAGAAGAAGAGTTTCATTCGTGATGATGTTCTCCCACACCAAATATAGTCCTGAACATGTTCCACATTCTAGAAGAGAAAGGGTCCACATGCAGAAGATAGACAACAGCCTGTTGCCAATTTATTTTTGGGAAGATCAAATCTTGCTAAGGACTTTTCCAGGTTATACAATTTGGTGCTTGAAATCAGATGACACATTAGGCACCAATCTTTGGAAATACAGAGCCTGTCAAAGTGGAAAATGTTTGTAAAGTTTTCTTAAACTGAAGATCAATGGTAATCCAAGCCTACTTTTTCATTATATCAATCACAGAGCCACACAGAGGTTGGCACCAAGAATAAACAAAAATTCATCCTATGGAAAGAAACATGCCTGCCTGCTTCTGCATACTGAGTTGAATATAATAAAAACCATGAACTATATGTTCTATATGCAGGAAAGAGCTATTTTGACAAAGTGCAAGATGTAACATATTAGATATGAAGCTCCTAACCCATCTGTAACATGCAGCCAACTGAGCAAAACACCACCTCTGCTGCACATGCATTTTTTTCATAACAAAAGAAAAATCAATTGGGTAAAGGAGTAAAATTTGGTTGCTGTGGTACAAAAGCTTTGGGGTAAGAATAAGCCTGAAGGTTGTGCAATGATCAGATATACTTACAATTGCTATCATAATAACATTCTGAACAACTGAGAACATAAGTAGTTATTCTGAAAGTCAAATATTCTACATCAAAATCTCAAAGAAAATTACAGCATATGTTATCCCATTGCAATCCTTTCCAAGCAGAAATGTCATCCCAATTAAAGGAAGACATGGTGAATATGCTAGGGATCACATTACTTCTGACTCCTATGTTGAAATAAAGCCTTTCAGAAACTCCAAGCACAAGAAGTAGCCACTGGAGAAGAAGAGCAGGTAGGATTTGCATCTATGTTCCCTTGAGAACAAACCTCAATACCAATATTATTAATATAATTGATTAATATTATTTCTCTGTCCAGCAGCTGCGATGTTGCATTAGAGGATATTCTGAAAATTGAAACAGAACATGGATTTAAAAGTGAAATGTGGTGCAGACAATGTTTTATTTAATCTCATTTGAGGCCCTGACTTCAGCTGGGGCAGTCTCCTGTATGCAATTCAATGTCTCTTTTAAAGTTCTCATGTGGATGATATCACCAGCATTCCAAATTATTTAAAGTAGTCTAACTAGGAAATGCCTGGTATGGGCAACTACCAAAATTGAAGGATAAATATGAAATCTGATGGAATATGAAACTCTTCCACTGAAAACCTCACCTCGTCAAAACACACAGCCAATCTGAACATGTATAGTCATTCAGAGTTCATACTATCATGTCAGCTCTGATGGTAGTTCTGCAATACTTAAAAGAGAAATAGTTCAATGGAAAGAATGGGAATACTTATGAGGGCTTAAAAAACTGGGAAAAATAATCATAGCAAGTTTCAATGGAACTTCATAACCAAAACCTCCCAATCACCAAATACACTGTAAAAGTCACTATAAAAAGAACAGTATTCCCATTGTTGCACATATGAGGTTCTCAAGGCTTCACTTCAACAAGTTACAAGGTCATCTCCAGAGGGAAAAATGCTTGTCATCAAAGATGAGGGCACTTGTGGTTAGAACAATCAACAGTTTTCTGACAGATGTTATGGCCAATCAACAAAAAAGTATGTTACACATGAAAAGCATATGCAAGAGTGGCATGGCAGCTTTCAAAGAAAAATAAAAAAGAATGCAACAAGAACATAAACAAGATATTACCATCATTCAGCCATGAAGCCTTCCCAATCATTTTTCATTTCTTACTGGTCCTCCCAAGTAATTTGCACAAACTTTTCCATCACAAACATCTTAAATTAAATTCACCAACATGAAAATTAGTTAAGTCACTGTCATCTGGCAATCATGTCTTTAAGATATGATTGAAGGGTATATACTGCTGAAAAGTAGCAGCAGTCACATGAGCAATACAATAGCATCAAACCAAAGGAACTTCATGGAAAAAATATCAAACTTTCTCACATGACAGAGAAATATTTATTTTCCAATGTCTAAGGCTGGTCTCATAAAAAGGATAGATTGAATATCATGCATATGATGAATCCTTGACAGTATAAACATGACTTCTAGAATCAATTGATGGTGAAAAAGGCACAACCAGATTCTAAAAACCTATAAACATCTATGTCATATGCTTGGATATGACTAATAGGTCTACATGCATTTAGTATTCATCTAAACATGGCAAGATATTCACTTAAAAGTGGCTAGACTTACTGTGGATAAGGATATCATATTAAGTTTTCCTTTTACATTAAGGAAAACTATAGCATTTGATAAGGTGGCTCTTTTCACAATGTATAGTCAATTTTCTGAATCTGTTTACCTATAACTAATAACCAGAGGGCTACTCATCTAATGTTCATGTATGTATTTGTTATTCAAATGCTACTAGCACTCATAATAGTAGATGTCAACCAATTTTTTTGTTCTGCACTGCAATGAGATTGCAAGTCTCTGACTTTCACAGATACGAATTTATGGATTTAAAAAGTATGTTACAAATGGATTGGACAACATCCAACTGTAAGAACTTCACCCAGGGCAATGATGAATGCCCAAGAGCAAAATGCTGCATTAGGGTAAGGCAGTGAAGGAAAAACAAAATTTTTTTCCTGCGAACCTAATGCGAAAAATAGGAATTTCTTGGGAATAATATACAAGCAGACTAAACGAGCCACCTGCCCCCATGTCTCCATTCCTGCGAACAAAGTTCACAGGTTCGTAAGGGATTTCCTAGCCTGTGGTAAGGTGATGAGACATTTCAATTCTTTGTGTAGCATTTAAGTGAAAACATAATTCCACTCTTCTTGATTGTAAATATGGAAGGATATTACTTAAATCTTAAAAAATTACCATGAAATTTGGGATATTGGGATTTTGTGTCTGTAATTGGGGAAAGAAGTTGGTTAAGCCAAAATCATAAGCTGACATTGCATTTGAGTTATTTTGACCAAATAACTCTAAAAACTATGGAAAGTTATACAATGAATTTTGCAGTAGATAGAGCTCTATGACTGGAAATGGGCATATAATGAAGTCTGAAAATTTTACATGCTGAAGAATCCTTAAAGTTCCTAAGGAAATAGAAAAAGAAAAGCTCTGCNTAAGGGATTTCCTAGCCTGTGGTAAGGTGATGAGACATTTCAATTCTTTGTGTAGCATTTAAGTGAAAACATAATTCCACTCTTCTTGATTGCAAATATGGAAGGATATTACTTAAATCTTAAAAAATTACCATGAAATTTGGGATATTGGGATTTTGTGTCTGTAATTGGGGAAAGAAGTTGGTTAAGCCAAAATCATAAGCTGACATTGCATTTGAGTTATTTTGACCAAATAACTCTAAAAACTATGGAAAGTTATACAATGAATTTTGCAGTAGATAGAGCTCTATGACTGGAAATGGGCATATAATGAAGTCTGAAAATTTTACATGCTGAAGAATCCTTAAAGTTCCTAAAGAAATAGAAAAAGAAAAGCTCTGCTGGGAATAGACACTCAAATGCCATGTGCATGTGTGGTTTGTCTGATGCTTGAATGTTTAATGACTGTCTTCCAGCACAGTGCTGACCAAATAAGACTACTTGAAATCACAAATCATCAGAAAATCACAAACCATTATAATGCCACTCTACCCAATGGAGATGAACCACTGCTTCATATGCTTCAATCAATGAAGGGACCTTCCACCACATCAAAGTTGAGCACAAAATAGATATATAATTTTTTAATAACTTTGTACTTAAGTACTTGTTTTGTTCCAAGAGTCTATAGAGAGTAATTGGATTACTTAAGCTTAAATCCAAGAGTTTATGAAGTCATCGTTATACTTTCAAGGATATCAAGAAATATAACCAACAATTAGAGTCTGTAAATTTACAACTATTAGAATTATAATTGTTGGTTATATTTCTTGATATCCTTGAAAGTATAACAATCATTTTAAGATATGTTATACTTTCAAGGATATCAAGAAATATAACCAACAATTAGAGTCTGTAAATTTACAACTATTAGAATTATAATTGTTGGTTATATTTCTTGATATCCTTGAAAGTATAACAATCATTTTAAGATAGTGGTTATAGTGGTTACAAATGCTACTAAGTATCTGAAGGAGTATATTAGATACAAAATGTCATTAATGAAACAAAGCAGGTAAAGGGCTAATAAGACCACATCCAAACCTACAAATACGTTGCTAACAAAACTCTTTGCACTATATATCAGGTATAACACTCATGTTCCAATCCAAGCAATAGCTCAGTAAAGTTGCTCATATGTGAGAGAATTGGACACCCTGTACAAACTAAACCCCCACAATACTCCCTCACCTTGTCATTCTACAATCAGTTTTGGGTTTTCTTCTTCCCATTGATCCATTACTACCTATTGTGATACTGTGCCTTATGGGGCATCAGTTGGGTAGTTATCTTTACAAAAGCACTAAACTGTATAAGGATTTCCCAGAGATCTTGCACAAATTCCTCAATAAATTTGGTCAATCACAACTTATAACTTTTTCCATTTGAGGGCACTCCATAGAATTCAATTTAATAGATACTGGTTATATAGCATTCCTGGGACTCTTGTCAGCTATTGCCTATTGCTCTTGAAGAGACAGTAGCAGCAAGACTTTTTCATGCTCTTGATGTAAATTTCAAAAACTAAAGTAAAAAAAAAACAAGCTCCATCAATANTTAAGATAGTGGTTATAGTGGTTACAAATGCTACTAAGTATCTGAAGGAGTATATTAGATACAAAATGTCATTAATGAAACAAAGCAGGTAAAGGGCTAATAAGACCACATCCAAACCTACAAATACGTCACTAACAAAACCCTTTGCACTATATATCAGGTATAACACTTATGTTCCAATTCAAGCAATAGCTCAGTAAAGTTGCTCATATGTGAGAGAATTGAACACCCTGTACAAACTAAACCCCCACAATATTACCTCACCTTGTCATTCTACAATCAGTTTTGGGTTTTCTTCTTCCCATTGATCCATTACTACCTATTGTGATACTGTGCCTTATGGGGCATCAGTTGGGTAGTTATCTTTACAAAAGCACTAAACAGTATAAGGATTTCCCAGAGATCTTGCACTAATTCCTCAATAAATTTGGTCAATCACAACTTATAACTTTTTCCATTTGAGGGCATTCCATAGAATTCAATTTAATAGATACTGGTTACATAGCATTCCTGGGACTCTTGTCAGCTATTGCCTATTGCTCTTGAAGAGACAGTAGCAGCAAGACTTTTTCATGCTCTTGATGTAAATTTCAAAAACTAAAGTAAAAAAAAACAAGCTCCATCAATATGGGTGTGCGGATTGCATGCAAGTTTCCAACAATTTTTACATTGCAAAATGAGTCTGGAAAATATACTTTTTTCAATAGGCAAAATAAATAATCACCTATTGCAAAAAAGGTCCTATTTTGCAAAACGCAATGATGCTTCAGTACAATACACACAACCATGACGAAGGATGTTGAGAAAATTGCTCAATGTATAAGGGAGATTGAGGTAAAGCAGCCTACCAAGTCTATTTGCTACTCATTTGTATTATGTTTTGATGACTTTTTATTCATTAATCTCTTACTTCATTAATCCATCAATAGCACAGATTGAGAATAAAGCGAATGTAGGCCTCTTTGTCCCAGGCTCCCCTACTTAATTTTTTTAAAAAGGGACGAAAAACTATTTCACAGTTGGCTGTGACATAAATAAAGAATGACACTGAAGAACAGGCATCCATCTTAAACCTTGTAAGATTTACCACATACCAAGGGGAAACACAGAATCTATGGCTTGAGTAAAAGAGAAGGGTCAGTTTCCATTTTTGAGACATGCTAGTTTCTAGTTCTTTAATGCCCAATTCATGAATGCAGGATTAAACTCTGCAGACTTTAATCCTGGGTTATCTCAGGCATCATATATGAGTTTGACATGGGACTCAAGTATCTCAGGTTCACCCTAACATGCACCAACTGGCCCCACATGTCAGCACAGGAAGGCCATAAATCTGATCCATGGGTGAAGTCTGACATTCTTCAGCCCCTCTCATGGGTTTCAATTAATGATGACAGCATCCACATAACCCTTTCCACTTGTTTCTTTCCGCAACACTACGACCAATGCCAAGACCAGTTTGACGACAAAGTGGAATGATGTGTACGCTAGGAATACAGATACAATACTCACCTGGGGGTCAACTTCTGGAGGGATATTCACCGGCATTTCAGGCTCTCCTTCCATTCCCTCAGCAAAATAAGAGGCCTGAGAGTGCTCATCCCACTGACCCTCTTCCTACAAAGAGCAAATATGAATTTTCAATAGTAAAGGAATGGAATTACAGGACTGGGGCATGGTTACAGCAAACTTCATGTTAAACTAACAGCAGCTACGGAAGTTGAATCCAATGTATCTTGGGCATCATCGATTTCATCTACTTCTGACTCATTTTTTATCATCACTCCATCAGCTGATGTGCTCTCATTTCCTTCAGGATGAGCTTGAGATGGGGAGGGTGCCTATGATGAGAAAAGCAAACATATGAAATGAGAGTAGTAGCTCCATTGTATTTTTTCACCAGAGAAATTTCTTGGCCACATACTGCCCCAGATCGTTGGGGATCCGGTCCGATGAACCGTGGCTTGGATCGAGGCATGGGAGCGTGAGATCGTGAGACCTTGGAAGGCGGGTAGTGGCATTCCCCGAGTCCCTGCCAGGCCTGGGAGGCAATCTTCCGCTTGTGGGCCAGGGCATCCTCGACGTCAGACACCGGAATGGTAGTTCCACTAGCACCGTGCATATCTCTCTTAGACTTCTCACCCTTCAATCCCTTCACCTCCAGGTTCTCAGCAACTTCAATGAATTTCTCAAGATCTGAGGCAGGAACCTCCACTTCTCCACAGTACATGAACTCCACCAGGAGCTTGAGCAGATGCATTTCCACACCATAGAAATGGATGATGGGGATCACAGGTCCATCCTTGTCGAGGACGCGCTCGAAGTATCCGCTTCCCGCGCACAAGACCAGCTTGTGGGCTTTCACAAACTGCCCATTGCAGGACAGAGTCACGTCCACGAACATCTCCCGGTGACGGAGATTTTCAAAGCTGAGAAATGTTTCTGCATGATGCGAGTTCCACTTCAAATTGTACTTATTAGACATGGCTGCTGTCTTGAAGCTCAACCTACATGAACTTGCACAAAATACAGTAAAGGTATCTATAACAGAAAGGATATCCACAAAAGAGATAAGTTAATACTGTATCTAAAAGCGGCACTGGTTAGCAAACACATGAGAACTAGTAAAGGATGGAATCCCTGAGAGAATGAGATACAAAAATCAAAAGCCTTCATCCTTCTAGATCAGGGGTTCCCAAACCCAGGGTTCAGATGTTGAATTTTGAGTTGTGACCAAAAAAGTTTGGGAACCACTGTTCTCAATAAAGGCATTAAGTCCTTAAAGTTATCCCTCTGTTGGTGTCTGCAATGAATGAGATCACAAGACTATAAATAATTTCTTCAAGTCAATAAAGCCAGTTCTAGTGTGCTAAATGCACAAGTGTTGGTGTTGCACTGAGCTGATATATCCATGTGAAATTTCATTACGGCTGAGTAGGCTGACCTTTCATCTTGGAGCTTAAGCTAAAACAATTTTCTCTGTAGACCCCCTCTTAGGGGTGTGATCCATCAACTCTTGACAGTTCCAAACTTAGTAAGCTTCAACTGATGGCATCAGCAAAGCAATGCTGATTGCTCAGGGACTCCCATAAGATCATAAGACTTGAGATGAGACTGCATTAGGCATGGATGTACTTCTCAAGCTCATGAACAAATAGAGAGAGATGGACATCAGTTAAACAGAACAATAAAGGGAGATGATAAGAATTGACTTCCCATTTAAACAAGTGTACCTTCTCAAACCATGAGCCCTCGTCAGCTTTTAACTTCATGGTGTGAACTTCCAGAAGCATATTAATTGCCATGATAGAAACTAAAGTTTCAAGGTTTGAACAGATATTCCAAGAGGCACTTTCGCCAATTATGACTAACGTTACGCATGTCAAGACATCACGTTAACATAGCAGAGATAGGCCTACTTTTCTTAAAGACGTATACCTCTTGTGTATTCACCTATTACGTCGTCGCTTACTGCTACATAGCTTGCTTTTTGTTGTGTCCACAAAGACATTAACCTTTTGCATCGATAATCACGGGACGGAGCAAACAATGAATCATCACTTAATGCATTTACTACTACAACTTACAAGTAAAGAAGTCATTCTGCCAGTTGAGTCTCACCGGGTTAACAGGACTTAATATGGTTCCCTCTCGTTCTGCCGCTACCATAGAAGTGGGACATTCCACCGTGCTCCACCCTATCGATTGCCCTCATGACCTTCATCTCCCCTTAATGATGAATGCAGACTCAAGTATCCAGAGAAATTAACCAGAGCAGAAACAATAAGCGTAATAATTGACACTTCGGAAACGAATATCGTTTTTCATCCAGTAGCGTAGCGAAGAAGTAGCAAGTATCCCTAGCCCGAAACGGTTAGACAGTGAAGAAGCAGGGAAGCGAACCAGACGGCCGCCATCTTCGACTACAACGCAACCGAAAGTGTAGGACATCTGACGGCAGTATTCGTAACTAGGAGTTTCAGCGCACTTCCTAGGTGTCGAGTACCGTGCAGCAGCATTCAATCGGATCCCAACCATAGGGCTCTGAAGTCGTGCCCGGAAACGCTCACGGAACGATGGGGCGCGTCTTTTTCTCCAGCTGCTAGCGAAAAAGACGCGTTGGGTAGGCACGACCACGTCATCGAATGACGTCACTCTTGGGCAAGCAGCTGGCAGCGGAACATAGCGAACTATGGGAGCGCTGAGCAGCTCAGCTTTAACCTGACGCCATGGGATGCTGGAGGCCTCAGCAGAGCTAGCAGAGCCGCTAGGAAAAAAGACGCGCCCGATGACTCCGATCTGCAAAGGCGATGCCGCTCAAAAACGAAGTCGAAAGCAAGCATTCCTTTTTTTTCGGGTTCAGTTGAGTCCGGTTCAGCGGTGAGTTCCGGATCGTCGTTGAAAAAACGGGGCGAGGCAGAACGGCAAGGGAGTCTCCTTTGTTCGCTCCTTTCCGAACGTTCGAGGGTTCTCGGAGCGACTCTTCTCCCCATTTACATGTGCCTCGGGCTTTTCTATGAACTCAAGCGTCGAGTTGGGAAGTAGTCGTTCCCGTGAAGTCATCCATAGATTCCGAATAGAGATCAATCCAAAGTGCAGGGGTGAAAGTTTGAGGGGATAAAATTGTGATTCGAGAAAATGAGGAATGACTCCGCTTCATGACAGCTGGAGCTGTCATAAAGAAAATGCGATTCTTTTTTTTAAGGCGCGAAATCGGGAAAAGTGCCGGATCCAAATTTGCCATGGTTCAAAATAACTGCCAATGGAAGAGGAAAAATTAGGGGCGGATCGGCCTCAGAATTGAGTCTCCAAACCTGCCCGACTGGCGCAATCACACGTTATGCATCGGTCGATCTTCCTTTCGATTCCATCCTTGTTTTTCTATTTCACCATTTTTGTTTTCCCGGTTCTCCTGTGTTTCGCCCGATGGTCAGACGTCGTGACGATATGCCAAATTAAATTCTTTTTGCGGAATCATGCACTAGGTGGTGACTGACCATTTGCCGTTGGAACGATCCGTAGCACCGCCAATTGGCACTCCCATCGGATTCTTTGGCATGCTTTCAAAACGCTTCCAGACGAGAAACTCTTACTTATGTCGATCGTGTCGTGTGGACATACAACAAAAGCAGAAAAGTACACATAGAGATACAATGTGAGGCGAACATAAAGCTATGTCCCTTGGGTCCTCATCCGTACCGGCATACGTACCTTTGTGCGGATGTGGTCAAGACGTACGTATTGCTACGTTGAAGACACAGATGTCCGAGATTCCGTTACAGTACTAAAAATTGGCATAAGACGGCCATTATGTTCCTCCGAACCCGAATGGACCCTTCTTTTCGGAGAGTTGTCACGAATTTTATATTATACTCACGTTCCTGTAGCTGACTCATCTCGTATTTCTTAACGGATCTCACCGGTACTAAAATTTACCATATGGCTTCGGCATTGATTCCTGGTGAAAATAAAACGAATTCGCAGAGATTCCAACGATTCGCCTCTGCGAGCGGTAGGCGTATGTTCTCTGGTCTCGGCGTGAAAACGATTACTTCCCCATTGCTACTTTAGCTCAAATATATCGAATCTCCGGCATAAGTTATAGTAAGAACTTTTATTCAGAAGAAAGAAGTCTGCTTAGATTAGCTAGGTGCTCATCTCAACCATTCAATATCCGTCTCATCACACTGCTTAACATGCTTAACATAGCAGAGTGCTAAGGGACGCAGGGCACGCGTTCTTCCAAGCGAAAGGCCAATTTCAGCCAACAAATTTGAGCAAATGGCGCAACGAAAATAATATGAAGAGGAGGCGAAAGTGCTCAGTCCGAAGTCGTCGGCTAAGATTACAGCTAAAGACAAGCATGGTGCATTTTTACGCATCAACGACGCTCTTAAAGCTGCCTGCCTGAGGCCGAAAAGGGGCGTCAATGACACGCAAAAAAAGATTCCATAACATGGTCTCAAAACTTCGTGCTGAAAGGGCGAAATACAAGAAATCCCGTAGGAAAACCGGTAGGCATCTATCGGTTCTCAGGTTTTCTATGCAAGCCCATTCGAAACCAAGAATGCTCCTGCAATTTCTTGTGTACTAATACATTAGTTTCAGCCCTTTTAGTCCACATGAGAAGGGTACTTCGTAAATTGAACCTTAGACATAAGTTTACATCGATATTCCGAACGTTATGCTCTTACTTTCGTATGGGGGGGGGGGGCCAACCCTTAAAAACCATCCCCCTCTCCCAGTTGTACTGGAATACAGTTGGAGATGACTCGCCATCAATAGAAGGGATAGCTGGCGGGATTGAAGGCGCAGTGAGTAGAAGCGACGAAGTGCCAATCCCGGAAACGCTGGAGGATGAAGTCCCAATGCTACATGCAGAAGATTCAGATAATGCAGAAGACATGGAACGCAAGCTTTCATGCAGGTTTGCTGCTTAAACAATTTTTAAAAGTAAAAGAGTATTTAAGTAAGTGAAATCATGGTTCTCTTTTACGTAATAAAGTCCCGTAATACACAAAGAGCACCAATGAAGAGCTCCCCCGTGTCTTGGAATATACCCCGTGTGACCGTATTCATGAAGGAACTCCTTATAATAAGCTCCAGAAAATAATATTTACATTATATCCATCGAAATTCAAACCACAATTTAAACAGCCCCTATTAGAGCTCAAGGCATAGAAAATTCTACACGCAATAATGATTTTAAAAAAATAGTTACTCATCACGTGAAGAAAGTTCAGAAGGGTGAGAGCATTTATATTTCCCTTACAGTAGGCAGGACAAGGGCCAAAAACCTGCACAGATGGCGGCTAGAAATTGTGATCTTGGCAGGAGTGCGAATAAAGGCAGGAAATCATCTCGAGCAATCCATTTTCGTTTGGAGACTGCATTGCCAGCGAAATTGATGGAGACACGGGAAATAGTCCTTGAAAAGCAGAAAATGGTTTTGGAGATGCAGCAGAGGAGGCAAAGAAGAAACTGGAAGTGCTAGCAAGAGAAGAGGAAAAGCTGAATTGGCAGATCGAGGTTCTTTCTCTGAAGAAGCAGCGATTGCTGGAGCAAACCCAAGGTGTCACTGTGAATGATGATAGCTAATGATATATGAAATGTGATAGCTAAATCATCTGCATACAGTATGCAGCGTATCTCCATGTTTTTGATCGAGGGTGCATGGGAATCTTCTTCTACTAAGCATCCGGGTAAGTCATGAAGAAACAGTATGAAGAGCAAAGGCGATAATTGACATCCTTGACGGACTCCTATGTTATTCTTGAAGCTCTCTCCGCATCTCCATTGATCCACCCTCACTGATGCCGTGGTCCATTCGTGAATACCTTCCATGTATCTAACAAACTTCTAAACTTCTCTGATACTCTCAGATCTCTCAGTTTCTTCCACAGTAGTTCTCTCCTCACCCTGTCAAAGGCTTTCTGAAAGTCAATAAAAGCTACATATAACTTTCCTTTCTTCCTGAGTGTCTTCTGGACTAGAGTGTAAAGAATTAAGACGCAGTCTATGGTGGACCTTTCCTTCATGAATCCGAATTGCTCTTGCGGTACTGCTCCTTCTTGGGTTGCCCACGTAGTAAGTCTCTCTCTTAGGATACTGGTCAAAAGTTTCCTCATAACAGGGAGAAGCGATATTGCTCTGTAGTTGTCTACCTCAAGCAGATTTCCTTTCCCTTTGTACAGCGGGACTATGAAGCTCCTTTTCCAGCATTCTGGGAAGATGGATTTCTCGTACATCATTGTGAATATCTGGGCAATGATCTTCAAGTCTTCCTCTTGAAGTATTCTATACATATCTGCAGGGAGGCCATCGTCGCCTGCAGCTTTGCCTGCTTTTATCTGCAAAACGGTTTTTTTCACTTCTGCTTGCCGGATTTCTTCGTCAAGCATCACATTCCCTTCTGCTGAGATATCATTTACAAGTTGCTCCATAATAATTGTTGAGTCCAAACAGAATGTCTGGGAAAAGTGTTCCTGCAGCTGAGACAAGGGTGGGATTCTCATGCAGCCCAGAGATAGGCCCTTATTAGAAGAGAGTTTCACTAGTCTCCAGAGATTTNGGCCCTTATTGGAAGAGAGTTTCACTAGTCTCCAGATATTTTTCTAATTTCCTTTTTTCATTGCTTCGCGTAAATCTTTCCCTCTCTTTTTTCAGTTTCAAAGCTTCTTGATATACTTTCTTCGCCGTCACGTAGTCCTTCCTGGTCAAGTCTGAGTCCACCTGCCGATATCTTCTAAGGGCTTTCCTCATTGCCGTCCTT